CGTCGATGTACTCCACATAAGCCTTCCACTCCTCAGAAGACGGCTCAGCTCTGAACAGCTCCAAATTGCTCTAAGACAAGACGAAGAGTGACACAGAGACAACATTACCATTTCTCTCATGTATGTTAACATTTGAAAAAAAAACTGAAATCACAGACTTATATGAAGAGCATAGAACTTAAAGCCTACTTGACATTACACCCAAACACAGAATAACGTCTTTTAACTACCTTAAGTAGGAAGTGAAACTTTTCTCCTGAGGACTGGATAAGACTGTAAAACCTTTCCACCCTCTCAGCCCTGTCCTCCAGACTGAGCAGTGCATCTTTTTTGCCCTCCTTCCTGTCGAACATATGGGTGGCCCAGGAGCTCATGCAGCTTTGGATCTCCTCTACATTGTCTTTGGTTCTCTGGAGTCGGCTCTCCAGGTCACAGACGGAGTCTCGTGCTTCCTGGATATACTGCCAAATACCTAAAGGAGTAAAGGTGATAGAGTAGTGAGAATGAGAGTGTGTGACTGAAATACTGGGACCCCCCCCCCCAAGAAAAAGTGTTGTTGTGTCTTATTATTTCCTTCAGAATACAACTTAACCTGCACAATTAAGATAAGTTTGACAACTTAGGTCTCTCATTTCATCGCTTCTGGTTCCCTGTAACAAATTCTGTAGTTTTCTGTAGTACTCCTTTGAATAATATCCGAACAGCAGGGGTGGGAACCTCTGGAATTTGATCTAGCCCATGAGACAATTCGTAAATAGAAAACAGGAATATAAAAAAAAACTTATGAAAGCAAGGTGGTCCTTTCTGGCTGGCACACACACAGCTATTATGTGTAATCACAGACATGAATCTAAGCAACTGTCAAGAAAAACAGATGATGATGGAGAGGAACGATGCTTTCAAAGAGAAATGGACAAGCAATTCTTTTTTGGTCGGTGTGCCTGCTTTGTGTGAATGCACTCAGTGATGAAAAAAGGAAATTGCTTCTGTGACACAAAGAGAGACACTGACACAGAGTTACCATTTCAACCATTCATGTAAAAATCTAAACGATCAAAAATCACCTCATAACCAAATAGAATGATGAAATTAGAAGGAAACTTTTCCCACAAGCAAAGAATAACATCCATAGCAAACATACAGACATAACAAATGCTGTGTGAACAGCCATTTTAGAGTGGGATCACTTCTGAGTTTGACTTAAGGGAGAACTGCTGTCTTAACAATTCATGCATGGCTACACCTCATCACTACCATCTGACATCAGACGCTTCAACAAAGAGAAACAGTTCCAGCTGGCTTTAGGGTTGGCATGATATGATATGTAAAGTAAGAAAGTAAAGAGATTTTAAATCAGTAAAGGGAGATTGACATCAATAACCCTGCACCTGACATTCTATTGGTTGGGGAATTATGATAAAAAAAAACCCTGAGAGAAGAAGGAAAAAACCCTGAAGCAGGGGAGAAATCTGAGAGTAGACACTTCACACACAGAAGCAGCATAAGCATGAGAGGAAGAAATAAAGTGGAGGAAATAAGCAAAGTGAGATATACTTGAGTGCAAGCACAACTGCTCTGAAACTGAAAGACCACATTCTGAATAAAGATAGGAAAATACAGTCAGGACATAAATTAAAAACAAATGAGGACAGAGATAAAAACAAGCACATAATATAATATCATGTGTTCAGTTAATGAGTATGGCCAACAAAGGATGTTATAAAAATGAAAAGGCCCTTGACAGAAAAAGGTTTCCCCACCTCTGCCATAGAGAGAGGTCAGTGTGAATGTGCTTCAGGAGTTTTGACAGCATTTAAAGAGACTCGCTTTCATCGATGCATGAATATTAAAGCATTCAACCAAAATACAGTCTGCCAGCACACATCTCAGCATCGAGTGTGACCAGTGGGTGTATTTAACAAACTTGACAGATTTTTTAAAACAGACTAGTCATTGGAAATGTATTACAAACATGTCTTTCTTGGTGGGCGTGGTGGCCTAGGTTACTGTCCAGGTTGCCTAAAACAACCTTATGTATGACACATGGATACAACAGTAATATGCACGTGAACATGATGTTATCAGGCCCCACTCTAGCTGTTTCCCAATCCAGGGGCTGCATCCCTGAGACGCTGCATTTGAAGAACAGTGGCATCAGTGCGGAGTTCTAAGGCTCCTTGAAATGAGGTGAAGAAATGTGGGTGGATCTATCTCAGCACAACCTATCTCAGGATTCATTGCGTGCCGGTGTCGAAGCTAACAAGCTAGCTATACAAGCTGATGTGAATGCAGCAGCTCAGAGTAGGTAACGATGCACTGGTTAGAGTGGGACCAGCTGGTGACACATATAGGAAATCCTCCATAGACCAGACCGTCTCATTTAAGTTCAGCCTTCATAGTCTAGTTTGGACATGGGAAATTTCACTTACACATTTGTTAACTGCATAATATATAGCTTTCAAAAGAAATACAATACTAGTCGTCCTATACACCTTTGCCAAATAAATGTGAAGTATATCCACAAAATACACACCCACTGCGCAGCATGAAGGAGATTAATGTGTGCAGCTACTGAACATTCTGCAGAGGGACTGTGAGTTTGTCCCCACAGACAGCCGCATGCTTTTGCTTTTTACGTAAACACTCTTCTCATTTCTGCTGCGTTCTTCTTCTTTTCGGAATCCCAAGGGCTGAAGAAACTAACAACATGCCTGCCAGCGCAGTGTCAATCAGAGCTTATCAATGATTGAACACCTCTCCTTTTCTTATTTTATATGTTTTAAAATGCAAAGCCTTGCTGTTCATGTCACATCTCTCGGCATCCTGCTCTACCCTCGAAATGACAAGGATGGAGGGAAACACCAGGGAGTAGGACGGAAGCAGGAACATTTTGATGATACAAATAAATATCTCCTTGAACACTCTGTACAGCTGCTTGTCATTCTATAGTTTACTATAATACAAATACAAAAACATTTTGAGATAGATTTTACATTTGCTGCTTTAAACACAAATATTAGCTGTTCTTTCTTAAACAAATATCACACAGCCTTAGTGTTCTGTGTGGGTCACAACAGCAGGGACAGACACTTTGACTTCAACAGCATATTGAGGAAAAGACATCTCAGAGCTGGATTTACAATCTAACTGTCCGTTTGGCATTTGAGACAGAAACAAACAAAAAAACAAAAGATTTGGAAGAATGAAAGCAGGGGGAAACAGCTAGCCTGACTCTGTACGAGAGCCCAAAAGATAAATCGGTTGGCAGAAAAAAAATCCCCACATATGAGTCCTTCACAGACATATCCATGTCCATATCTCTGTTTGCTGTCATGCTGCCATAGCAAAGCCTTTATGTTTCATATTTACATTTTAAGTTTAAAAAAGTATATACTCTTAAGCCAAGCTCGATACATTTGCTTGTAATTGAGTTTACTTTGTATTTTTAGTTAATTTTGAATAATGTTTATGTTTACACTGTAATTTAATTTCTTATTCATAAGGGTTTGGAAGCATCTCAAGAATCAATGCCAAATTTCTGTATGTCGACTGTTATATCAGAGTCAGAAATTATTTACTCCCTGTATTTGTATCAGCAGCAGACCACACAAATCCAGATTAGTGGGCTCTACCATGTACTCAGTACAGCAATTCACATGTACCCCTAAAGCTCAAGAGGCAAGTTAATGTTAATGTGTTAGTGAAGCTATAGAGGCTTGTTTTTGTTCTTCACTACCAGCAATTTTACACTTGACTCCGCTAAACTAATGTAATAATAAAGATTATCTCGAGCAAAGAAAGTGAATAAGCATATTACATAGAATGTTGACCTAACTATTCCTCAGAAGGATCAAAAACACTTCTCTCTTACAGCAAATTAACTGTTGCACAAGTGTTGAAACACAGAAACAGAGCCATTGTTTGTAACTACACCATCACTGTGTAAGAATTTGCATAAAAATAGTTCTAAAGAAATTGCATGATGCAATCGCTGCATCATCACAGAGAATGAATGCAGGTAGATAGATAAGGTCATTGCAGTAGACTCTAAGCAATATTGTTGTTGCACTGCGTCTGCTAGAATGAGTAAGTTTCCAGACCTTGGCTGTTCCATTTCAGACTCTCCTCAGCGTTTTTGAGCTGAGCATCGATGTCCCTGAGTTGGCCCAGCACCAGAGGATGTTCCACATCAAGCACAGAGTGCATCACCTGCAGTCAAGCAGTGGGAGAAAACAAAAATGAAAAGAGGGATGTGATGTGATTTCCAGCTCCCATTAAGGGTTCACAGAAATATCATTCTAATAGAACCGCCAGTGAAAGGCCACATAAAAGCCCAGAGCAACAAGACGGGTGTTGTCCTCGTTATAGTCACTGTTCCTGATCTAACCATGTTGCTGTGACTTAATCGAACTTGAAGCTTTTGCACCTGAAGCAATGAAATGCTGTATTTCTAAAATTGCAGCAGCTGCGACACATGTGGCTGAGCTGAGTTAATTACATGGTGATTGCTCTTATATTGTTTTATGCTACATTATTGTAATCACCATTTTGGCCTTTGCCCATTTCCCATTACAACAACATAACAGAATTTTGTAGCAGTATATTTCATGTTTTAATGTCTAAAGTCAGGAAGTGAATTCATACACATGTGCATCCTTAATTGCATAATTTGAGGATCATATTCAAAAAACATTTTCTTGTTTATGCCGTGGCGTCTACAGTCTGTATGTCTATGTGTCCCATTCTAGCGAACACCTAAAGGGAATTTCTTCAAATTAAACAAATGACTAAAACATGAACTAATTAAATTGTGACGGTCAAAGGTCAAGGGAGTGCTGATTTCACAAAAAACAACATCACATTATAGTGATATCATTATTTTGTCCAAAAACACTTCTGGCTATTATTTAACTCCCTAAGTCAGAAACAGGGGGAGACGTGGTAAATGGACTGTATTTAAATAGCACTTTTCTCTTAACAACCCCTCAACAGTAAAGTTGACATTCACCCATTTGCACACACATTTACACAGCACTACTATATCTAGCACTTTGTCTGCATGTCATGCATCTCATTCACACACTACTCAGGAGCAATTTGGGGTTCAGTGTCTTGCCGAGGGCACATTTCAGACTGGCAGGCCATAAGATTAGTGGACGACCCGCTATAGCTCCTGAGCCACAGGGTATTGTGATCCTATTTTCTAAACTGGTTGTTTGAGGCATGGAACAGTGAGACTTTACTACTTTTGTCTATACTGGAGATTTTATCACCTCATGTCAAACTTACTATTGGATTTCCCCAGTGTATCATATCTTATCTTATTTTAACTTAGCTTAGCTTATTTTCCACACCAGTCTGTGTTAATGTTAATGTCTGGAGATACTACTGTATTGTTTGAGCAAAAGCAATTGATGAAATGATGACAGGAGAGGATGTGACATCAACTGCAGGACTTATATATTTCAACTGACTAATGGATGTTCCCGTCTCTACAGCACTGATGCTGGCATGCGTTAAAAAGCATCAGACTGCCATCTAGAGGTTGACAAGTCCCCCCTTCTGCCAAATGTGACTCTTCCTCATGCTCTGATATCACACTTTATTTTCATCTGTGTGTACATTTCCTTGACGGCTCACAGCCTGATCGACACCAACCTTGTTGTATCCGCCAGTGGTGAGCTCAAGGTTGGCTACATACTGCTGCAGCTGCTCCCTGGTGGCGTAGATCTGCATTGCAGTTTCTGGGATGGCCACAGTCTGACTGGCCTCCAAGTACTTGACCTCCCGCAGCAGACACGCCAGCTGAGGAAGAGGAAGACAGAGGCATTGAGACACATAATAAGATATTCATAACTTGATGGTCAAACTAGATTTTGATCAGTGAAGGCAGCCAATATTTTCTGCCACTGTTTAAAATCTTTACTTTCAAGCCCTATGTCACAGTAAATGAGGATCCAGTTCTACAGTTTTGGTATTGGTGGGAGAAAACTTTCCAAAGCTCAGATTAATGTGAGGTCAGTTAGAAACTTTTTAGGGCAGCATGGCCCAACATCACTACCTTTAAATGAAAAATTGAAATAATGACTTAACTTATTAAAATGATAAATGTGCAGGGAAAACACAACTTTATTTAAGGATTTATGGAGCTGTGGGCAGGTGTATGACACTTAGTGGAAGATGTTTAATGAAAGAGATTAGTTTGATACACGGCATAATCAAACTAATATATCACTCAGAGCGTGTCCACACACTCTCAGAGTAAAAGCTTTAAAAACAGTGGCCCATCTAGCAGCCTCCCTTGGATAAGTTTTACGAACAAGGTGGATTAATGTAAAAACCTGCGGGCTGAAGTTGACTGAGATCAGCCGAGTGGCCGGGTCTCTGCTGATTAACGGCAGGCTCAGATTGTACTGGGAGGTCTCGCTCACGGTCTCTGTCCATGTCTCATACAGACTGGTGGTGTATCTGCAATGGAAAACACACAGAAAACAACCCTTGATGTCAGTCATACAGAAGTAATTATGACACAAACATAATTTGTACTATTTTTACTACCAGGGTGACAAATTGTTTCATATGTTTCTAATAATTGCAGGAATCTCTGTCCGTCTGACTGTGACTCTCAGGGTTCAGTATAGAGAGTTGAGCTTCACTGAGGTTTAAATAAACAGGTGAACAGCTATTTGTGCAGCGGCAGTGGAGCAGCTTCAGGGTTCAGTCTTTATGCCATGTTCCATTATAGCTCGGAGCTCGGAAGTTGCACCTGGAACGCCCCCTTCAGTCGGAACCTTACCACCTCCCACAGATGGCTGCTCCTTGTATCAATAAAGTTGTAGTTTTTACTGTTTATCAGCACTTAAATTTGTTGTACACATAGTACTATCCAATTACGGTCTGTGGTCATGCTACTACGGTGTTAGTATTCGTGCAGTCCAAACAGCCCATTCCAAACAGGCAGGTTTACAACAAACACTGCACTAGTTCCCATTACAAGAGCTTTTATTTCATAAGGGCACAGGTATGAAAACATCATGGAAATCAACACAAGCAAATAAGAGGCATATGATTGAGCGTTTTTCCCCAAATTATCCGAGGTCGTTAACAGAATGAGAGGCGTGGTTTGCTTGTTCATGTTGAGCAGACTATAAGGGCAGAGGGAAAGGTAGCAGTTCAGGAAGGTTACATGCAGGCATGCAGGGGTAAAATGAGGATAAACGCTGATACATCTGCAAGAGGCTGGGAACAGACAGAATGCCAGGGCTCTGTACAGCTATATCAATCTGTAAATAGCTGAGATTATGACGAGAACTTAAGTGTGCACTGTGTGCGCCTTATTGGATTTCTGCTGTGAGCTTCATTTCCTGATAGTGGCACCGCAGACGCAGAGGCAATCAAATGCCTCAGTCATGGCCATAAATCACACTACATTTTGTCTGTGGGGGTAATGAGTGAGGATGCCCATTCTGTTCCTGACTGGAAAATGTATAATAATGGTGGTATTCACTCTCGGCAGAAGCGATGATTATTACAGTATAACAAGAGCTCTAATTTCTGATGGGAGTAAATTGAGGGCAAAGAACTGCTGTTGTTCATCATTCCAATACACTGGGTGGGGGGAGCATCGAGTGAAGGAGTCATATTAAGTGTGTGGAGGATAAAGAATGGGTATCTGTCTGGTTGTGTGCGTGCGTGTGTGCGTCCATGTAATAATGAGCATTATTCACAAAAGACCTTTTCACACACACTTTTTGCATCTTTACATAACGATACCTGTAAGGACTCACTCTTATCTGAGCTTGGTCTGGAATAGCTGTTAACATTCATCCTTATCTTAGCTCTAAAACAATATACTGTCTGACTGCTGATATTTTAAATTAGTGTGATAATAACTTTCTTTAATTAGTGGACAAATCATTAGATCAAAAATACCTTTTTGTCTGGCAGCTGTCCAAAACCAAAGCATATTCACTATGATGTTAAAGAAAATTCTTCTGGTTCCAAGCATCTTACAATGTATTTCTTTTGTAAAAGAAGACCAACTGCGCTAACAGCATTTGTTGATTTGCTAAATCCTGGTTTTCATTGTTTTGATCAGTTGCAGGTGAAGACAATTTTTTTCTGCAACTGTTGATAACCCTCCTTGGAAATTGAAAACGAACTGAGATCATTGGGTTATGATGGTGATTTCTTAACAACCACATCTTTTAATGTGTTTTTTTAAGCTCCTTTATCCACGACTCTCACCTCCCGAGGTCACAGAGAAACGAGAGAGAGAAACCCTCTGAAAATGTCAGCAAACAGGTCACACCTTGTTAAGTCGGACCTTTCAGAAATTCTGAGGTCATGAACACCAACAAGAGGGGGGCATAAAACAGGGTCCCATTTGAAAGCAGCATATATTTCCGGCCTGATCTTTTTGTTGTGTTTTCTCCACTATAGAATTCCCTCTCTCTGTTTGACCCTCCTCTCTTGCTCTTTTCTTGTTCCGACAGGAAGCAGCCAAGCAGACTGGAGGTCATGCAGCAGATGGGATTCTGTGGAGATTCTGTGGAATCTTTGAATGCTCTGTCCGCTCTTTCTCTCCCTCATCCAGGCATTCCACACATTCCACACTGATTTGTCCCTTAAGGTACAGCATTGACGTATTTATGTAAAGTTTTGTTTTTAATTATTCCATATGGTGTCCTCCCTCCTTTGTCTATCATGTTTGTGCTATCCCAGAAATATTTTGAAATACACAGACCATTTTTATTTCTTTACACTTTGATTCCCCTCAACAGCCAGAATCTATATTTACTGCAGGTTGTACGTTTAGAGAATTCAGCTGTCAGCTTCTTACCCGAGGCAAGACCACATCAATCTTGTTTGAGCCTCTTTACACTGGCTCCCAGTAAGTATTGGTACTGATTTTAAGATCTTATATATAAGAATATAATATTTTATATATTAAGGGCTGGTTCAGGTCTGCCTCGGACCAGCTTTTAGTTTGGCTGCTATATGCCTAGATTGTTGCAACACATGGACTAAATAGAGCTTCTCTTTCCTCCTCTCATTCTTCATCAAATTAATGTCTCATTGATACATGTTACTGACTACACTTCTTCCCCATTACAGATCCAGGATCGCGGCTGCAGCCACATCGAGCAATGTGGTGGCACCTGATCATGGATTATGATCACAAGCTTAGATATGTGTCCTATATGCTACTTTAAAAGGGAATACCTTTATCTATTACAATGGTCATTGCTGCTCCCTTCATCTCTGTCAGACATTTTCTTTTGTATAAATACTTTAAACATCGATACAACTCTGTTGATTTGTTCTGCTACACGCAGCAGGTTTCTACATTTTCCATTTAAAGGAATTTTTGCGCAGGATATAGTCGAGGTTTAAGGGCCGAGGATGCTGAACATTTTTAAGGGCTGTGATGTAAATTGTGATTTATGAAAATTGGCTATCAAATTAAAATTTGACTGTTTGATTGACTTTCCTGTTGATACCTTGTTGCCTGAGTCAGGAAAGGTTTTCTGATTTAATGTTCTGCTCTTACACTTTCTTCGATCTAACACCAGTGGAATAAAATTAGCCTTGTAAAACCTTGATTTTGCTTCCATCAGCTTCCGTTTGCAGAGAGCGATGATGCTGTGCTAAGACTTTTCTACACAAGTGTAAAAACAGATGTGCCCTCTCTCTCTCTTTCGCTCTCTTTTTGCCTCAACATAATTCTGTTTGATTCCATACAAACAGAATTTTCTGACCTATGGGATGCTTTATCTTGCAGTTTCTGATGTTGGATATGGTCTACAAGGCCATTCCTCACTTGGCATCAGTGAGTAGCAATGGAGCATATGGGATTACGGGAGTCCTGTGAAATAATCTGTGGAGCAGCACCACAGTAATGAGAACATAAATCATGCTCGAAGCTGTGTGTCTGCATGCTATTCCACAGGGGCTGCTTTCATAAATGTTACACGCTCAACTATCAAAATCACAAACGTTCGGGTTAAAAACTGAGTCTGTGTGAAGTCACAGCCACAGAGGGAGCGAATATCTGATTCATGTGATTGGCTTTCAATCTTATTACAGTCCTGAAAGTTGACGTCTCATTCTGTCACTGTCTATTCTGTTTAATCTCCATTTTTGTTCTTTTATTCAGTGATACATACATCCAAGCATGATGACGTTTGGTATAATACAGGAAAATAAGATCCACACTTACCTGTCCAATAGTTGCATCATCTCCTCATACTTGTCAATGACCTTGGCTCCTTCCGCAGACTCCAGACACCTGCAGAGAAGATGAAATCTGACAATCCATGCCACAATTGTAGCCAATACCTTCCCAGTGGCCAGTATTCCACAACATCATTTTTATGAGGCCTTTAAAAAACCTTCACAAAATGTTATGAAGAGGGGCAGCTAGAGCTACAAAGTGGAAAAACACAGTTTTGAATCTGTGTTGTTGGCGATGGGAGGAGACTTACGGGTAGGAGAGATTTCTGAATTTGGAGAACTGGGTCTGGATGCGCTTCTGTAGACTCTGAGCCCATCTCAGCCCACCAGCTACTGGTGGCATATTCATACTCACGACAGGCGAACCTGAGGAAGTCAAGTGTGTTTAATACAAAGTCAATGGTGACTGAGATAAGAACTACACTATGTTGTCAGAGCACACACAATGCACAAAATAAGGTTGCCCCAGAGAAGAATAAACCAAATAAACCTTGGTTCTGGTGATGGTATGGTTCTGAAACTCTCTTCATGGATTTCTCTCTTTCTGATTAAGTGTTTCAAATTGAGACCTTTCCAAATTTAATCCCTGAACGAACCAGTGCGAGGAGCAAACTGTCCCAGAGGTTTCTTAAGCTATTTTCAGACATGTCCAAGGAGGATCTCCTGAAAATGGGATCTGGACTACATCTGCAGTTTGCCTGTCACACAGGATGGAATGTCACGTGACTTTGTGTACAGTACATCAACACTGGCATCAGCTCTTATCACCAGAAGACATATTCATTGGAGTTTTCTACCTGTATGGCTTCACTTTTTCATCCAGAGGTTTTTTGTTTTGCGTCTTTTCCCCTGCTGTGTTCTCACATTGACTTCTGCAGACTTCCTGCGGACTTTATACTAAACTCCAGAGGCGCTCATTTGTGTTCAAAGAGTTCAGTGCATGTTTGAAAGCAGCTTAATAGATCTGACTCTTAGATCGCTTGTTCTTCCTGTTTTGGGGGGCAGTTTGTGCCTTTATTAGAGAAGTGAGAGACAACGGGAAATGAGAGTGTGAGTCAGAGAGATGGGGGAACAACATAAAAAGGTCCACTATAGCTGGACCTGCACTGGCTCTGCTTTATAACACTATATTTATCTATTGTGCTATCAAGCCACCAAGATTGTTTTCATTTTATTTCCCTAAGATCTCAGATATGGTGAATGTTTCTGACATTTCTGCTGCCACCCCAATACAATGCAAGTGAAAAGCTATTTTGTTGGTTGTTGAAAATAAATGACAAAGATTTTTATGGCTACAGACCTCTCTGTCAAGCCACTTGCTTTTGGCTGTGTCTGGAATTAGTGTGCTTTCCTCAATGGCTCATTCACTACTCCCTGTTTGTGGTAATTTACTCAGCAGTGAGCAGGCGACCATCATTTTTCATCCTCACTGCTATAGACTAATATTTATATATATCGGTGCCCCTTAAAAGAGACCGTTTGTCTACTAATAATATTCTGTCTGTAGTGAAAGGTGTATATTATTNGACTTAATGTTTTCTGTAACCCATGTTAAACTGACCATTTAACAGTCACAAAAATATAAATATCAAATGGGTAATTTCTCAAGTCGTGCTTCTGCTATTGTGAGTAAGTTTCCAGACCTTGGCTGTTCCATTTCAGACTCTCCTCAGCGTTTTTGAGCTGAGCATCGATGTCCCTGAGTTGGCCCAGCACCAGAGGATGTTCCACATCAAGCATAGAGTGCATCACCTGCAGTCAAGCAATGGGAGAAAACAAAAATGAAAAGAAAGATGTGATGTGATTTCCAGCTCCAGGCCATAAGATTAGTGGGCGACCGCTATAGCTCCTGAGCCAGTTTGAGGCATGGAACAGTGAGACTTTACTGGAGATTTTATCACCTCATGTCAAACTAACCATTGAATTTCCCCAGTGTATCATATCTTATCTTATTTTAACTTAGCTTAGCTTATTTTCCAGTCTGTGTTAATGTTAATGTCTGGAGATACTACTGTATTGTTTGAGCAATGATAATGACAGGAGAGGATGTGACATCAACAGCAGGACTTATATATTTCAACTGACTAATGGATGTTCCCGTCTCTACAGCACTGATGCTGGCATGCGTTAAAAAGCCTCAGACTGCCATTGACAAGTCCCCCCTTCTGCCGACACCAACCTTGTTGTATCCGCCAGTGGTGAGCTCAAGGTTGGCTATATACAGCTGCAGCTGCTCCCTGGTGGCGTAGATCTGCATTGCAGTTTCTGGGATGGCCACAGTCTGACTTGCCTCCAAGTACTTGACCTCCCGCAGCAGACACGCCAGCTGAGGAAGAGGAAGACAGAGGCATTGAGACACATAATAAGATATTCATAACTTGATGGTCAAACTAGATTTTGATCAGTGAAGGCAGCCAATATTTTCTGCCACTGTTTGAAATCTTTACTTTCAAGCCCTATGTCACAGTAAATGAGGATCCAGTTCTACAGTTTTGGTATTGGTGGGAGAAAACTTTCCAAAGCTCAGATTAATGTGAGGTCAGTTAGAAACTTTTTAGGGCAGCATGGCCCAACATCACTACCTTTAAATGAAAAATTGAAATACTGACTTAACTTATTAAAATGATAAATGTGCAGGGAAAACACAACTTTATTTAAAGATTTATGGAGCCTCCCTTGGATAAGTTTTTCGAAAAAAGTGGAATAATATAAAAACCTGCGGGCTGAAGTTGACTGAGATCAGCCGAGTGGCCGGGTCTCTGCTGATTAACGGCAGGCTCAGGTTGTACTGGGAGGTCTCACTCACGGTCTCTGTCCATGTCTCATACAGACTGGTGGTGTATCTGCAATGGAAAACACACAGAAAACAACCCTTGATGTCAGTCATACAGAAGTAATTATGACACAAAAATATAATTTGTATTTCTTACCAACACGGTGACCCATTGTTTTGTATCATTCTAATAACTGCCGGTATCTCTGTCTGTCTGACAGACTCTCATATGAGTTCATTTTATCAGCTTCAAACTTGGCATGTATTAAAGCCCGCATTTTTACTCTTTATCAGCACTTAAATTTGTCGTACACATAGCATTGTCCAATTACTGTCTGTGACAGTGTTAGTATGAATGTGTTTTGCTAACAATGGCTAGCTGGCTATCGTAAACAAATTCCAAGAGGGCGGCAGCAAGACAGGATTATTCGTGTCGAGCTCCAAGGTATAATGGAACACAGCAATACTTGTCGCGGCTCAGTTAACAGGGGTCACTTTTACAGTTTCAGATAGAAAGCTGCAGCCAACATTTCTTTTTTTTTTTTTTAAATCCACTTACACTAATTTCTTTGATAATAAATTAGATCCACACTTACCTCTCCAATAGTTGCATCATCTCCTCATACTTGTCCATGACCTTGGCTCCTTCCACAGACTCCAGACACCTGCAGAGAAGATGAAATCTGTATTCCAGTATTCCACAACATCATTTTTATGAGGCCTTTAAAAAACCTTCACAAAATGTTATGAAGAGGAGCAGCTGGAGCTACAAAGTGGAAAAACACAGTTTTGAATCTGTGTTGTTGGCGATGGGAGGAGACTTACGGGTAGGAGAGATGGCTGAATTTGGAGAACTGGTTCTGGATGCGCTTCTGTAGACTCTGAGCCCATCTGAGCCCACCAGCTACTGGTGGCATATTCATACTCACAACAGGCGAACCTGAGGAAGTCAAGTGTGTTTAATACATAATGCACAATTACAGTCTACATTTTTGTGCAATCAATTTGTGCACTCAAGTACAATTGTTTACCAAAATA